AACATTTGAAAAGTAGTGTTTACATACACAAATCACTGAATTTTTAAAGCACCAGATTTGGTTTGTTTAAATATCTGTTAGCTGTAGTACTATAGTGACACATGCTGTTTTGTGTTTGTAGTGCATCTCTGGAGGTATTCTGGTGGGTATCCTGCTCTAACAGAGTGTTTGCGCAAACTCAACCGCAATACGGTATTTAACACATCTCTTAAAATGTAGATGTAAGGATGTTAGAATCTATGTATTGTGTGTCCTTTATCAAAATGTTTTCTGTGCAGGCGTATCTTGCATTTCGAAAAGAGAGGAGTAAAATGTTGATCTCCCGACGCAACCAGCTTCTTCTGGAGTTTAGTTTCTGGAACGAGCCTGCGCACAGAAGCGGTCCCAACATTTATGAACTGAGAACATACCAACTAGTAGTAAATACCATTTAATTTTTCTGTTTTAAATACGCACCTTCTTATTTTAAAGCTTAAAGGAAAATGTACTCACCATCAGGCCATCTAAGATGAGCTCTTTTGTCATTGGAACACATTTGGAGAAATTTAGCATTATATCACTTGCCCATCAATGGATTCTTTGCAGCGAATGGGTGCCGTCAGATGAGAGTTTCAACAGCTGATAAAACAGTCCATGATAATGCTTCCTTCAGTGAAAAAGTCCATCCCCTGTTGTCCTATCCCATCAAAATCCATTTGTTTGAAAATGTTTTGGACTGTTTTTTTGCTTGTGAGCAATGCTTGATCTATGAACATTCCTCTCCTGATTGAGGTGAAACAACTTTTTCACTGAAGATATCAGTTATTATGATTAGACAACTCGTATTTTAGCTGGAAGTAACAGTTTGAAGTTAAAAACGTGTTAATCAGCTTTTTGCTTAACAAGACATTAATTGATGGGCTGGAGTTGTTTGTTTGGACTCTCATTCTGACGGCACCCATTCACTGCAGAGGATCCATTGGCGAGCAAGTGATGTGATATTAAATTTCTCCAAATCTGTTCTGATGAAGAAACAAACTCGCACCTTGGATAGCCTGAGGGTGAGTAAATTTTCAGCTTTTCCTTTAACTTTTTTTCTCTTTTTTTCCTGTTTGGTTTGTCCTGAAATTTCTGAATCAAGCCTGGAACAATGATCGAATGGGGAAATCACTGGTACGTTTGTGTGTGAATTGTACAGTTTAACTTAAGGAAAAAATACCGATGTTATATCACCATGTTGCATATTTAATCTATTTTATCATGTTCCAGGGCTCGAGCTATCAAATATAGACAGGCAAACAATGAAGCAGTGGGTGGCTTCTTCACACAAATCGGTGAATTGTATGTTGTTCATCATTTATGGGGTAAGAACATCCTTCACTGAGCATCTTCTTCTGATCATTGCATATTATTAAGTGCTTTAAAATCTCTCCGTTGTACTGAATATTTTTAATGTGTTTTAGCCTATAAAGACCTGCAGTCCAGAGAAGAGACCAGAAATGCTGCTTGGTTAAAAGAGGGCTGGGATGCCAATGTGCACTATACAAGTGAGTAAGAACAAAGATAGCGGGTTTTTGAAATTCAATATTGGTGTATTGATTATTACTGCATAATATACTCTATACTGCCTGTCTGTTTAAAAAGTATGTGCATATACCATTTTAAAGCATCCTATACACTACCATTTAAATGTTTTCAAATATGTTCAAATACAGTGGGTACGGAAAGTATTCAGACCCCCTTAAATTTTTCACTCTTTGTTATATTGCAGCCATTTGCTAAAATCATTTAAGTTAATTTTTTTTCCTCATTAATGTACACACAGCACCCCATATTGACAGAAAAACAAGAAGAGACCAGAAATGCTGCTTGGTTAAAAGAGGGCTGGGATGCCAATGTGCACTATACAAGTGAGTAAGAACAAAGATAGCGGGTTTTTGAAATTCAATATTGGTGTATTGATTATTACTGCATAATATACTCTATACTGCCTGTCTGTTTAAAAAGTATGTGCACATATCATTTTAAAGCAGCCTATACACTACCATTCAAATGTTTTCAAATATGTTAAATATATTCTATTTCAAATAATATGCTGTTCTTTTCAATTTCATCATATAATTCTGATAAAAGTCACATTTTCCACAAAAATATTAGGTAGCACAATTGTTTTCTACATAATAATAATAACATTCTTGAGCAGCAAATCGGCATACTGTAATCATTTCTGAAGGGTCATGTGACATATTACTGTTTATATTGTATTTTCAGCCTTGGTGAGCATAAGAGACTACTAAAATTTTTCTTACATACTGTCACTACAGCAAATCGGCATACTGTAATAATTTCTGAAGGGTCATGTGACACATATTACTGTTTATATTGTATTTTCAGCCTTGGTGAGCATAAGAGACTACTAAAATTTTTCTTACATACTGTCAAACTTTTGAACAGTAGATTATATTTTAATATGCATCCATAAATCCTAAATTGCCAATTTTGAATTTCATCCACTTATCTTTGAAATAATAAAAAAATACTGTTTTAAATTCTGTAAAAATGTCTTAACTTGTGGCTGTCTGATCAAATAATGAGTCAAAAGGGGAATTTTGGAATTCTGGGTATTCCTTGCATACAGAAAATGTGCATACTTCACACAATTATGCTAGAGTAATGCTGAAATAGTAAGCAATTCATGTGTTTTATTTGTGAACGGCACCATCTGGTGGTTTTCAGTAGAACTGTTAGAACTGTTCAATACATTCAAACTTGTTTATTTTTGTTTTTGACAGTGCCTCTTATCCAAAAGATGGAATCGAGAATTATGATTCCCATGGAACATTCACCTCTACAGTAAAATCAACAGTGTTTCACCTGTGATGATACCAAAGACACTATCCACCAGGAGATCTACTGTTTAGATCTGACTTTACTCAAACACATCTGAAGCAGATGATCAAGGTCTTCAGGTACTCTTGAAGTAGACGGGCAGTTGTGTTAGATTGGCTTCAACACAGCACAGTTTTGCCTTCTTGCAGACTTTAGGAGCAGCTCTACTCTGAGAACTACAATGACAGACCTCAGTGTCGTCGTACAAGACTGTTAAAGTATATATATAATTTTTTTTTTTAATGCAGTCTTGTTTTTAGTCATTATTCTCCTTTCTAATGCATCACTTGGCCTGTTGGATGCTTGAAGAAACTGCCTGTCAACATAGCTTTTTATCTATAATTAAAAAATACATTTGCTAAATTTAATGCATTTATTGCAAGACTTCATTTTAATGTTGTAAACTTTAAAACGGCATTATAGGATAATAAATGAACAAATCATTTCTGTTGATTTGTTGTCTCTTATTACACCATAATAAATTATTGTGATTTAATAATACTTGATGTTACCATGGCCATTTTCACTGTACATAAATACTTACAAGTGTGGCTGGTTGCCGATGCTTTACAATTGCTTAAAGGGATAGTTCACCCAAAAAAGAAAATTCTGTCATTAAAGGTGCAATAGCTCATTCTCATGTCGTTCCAAACCTGTAAGACCTTCGTTCATCTTCTGAACACGAATTAAGATATTTTCATGAAATCCGAGAGCTCTCTGACCCTCCCATAGACAGCAAGGTTCCTACCACAATCAAGGCACAGAAATGTAGTTAGGACATCGTTAAAATTGTCCATGTGACATCAGGGGTTCAACCGTTATTTTACGAAGCTACGAGAATACTTTTTGTGCGCAAAGAAAACAAAAATAACGACTTTATTCACGACGCTTGCGCATGCTATGATCTTAACATAAACAACGTATGCGCGTACTTTGATCCGAACGTAAACGAGACACAGCGCATGTGTGTTCTGTGTCAGCAGCACCACGCGCATACGTTGTTTACGTTCAGAACATAGCATGCGCATGCATCGTTATACTCTCCAAAATGGCACCAGGGTGACGCAGAGGAGACAAATTGTTGAATAAAGTCATTATTTTTGTTTTCTTTGCGCACAAACAGCATTCTCGTAGCTTCGTAAAATTACAGATGAGAACCACTGATGTAACATGAATTATTGTATCCTTCCCTACTATGTTTCTTGGCCTTGATCGTGGTAGGACCTTTGGAGGCTCAGAAAGCTCTCAGATTTCATCACGTTAATTTGTGTTCTGAAGATGAACGAAGGTCTTACAGGTTTGGAACGACATGAGGGTGAGTAATTAATGACAGAATTTTCATTTTTGGGTGAACTATCCCATTCATTTGATGGTAATGATATTGCATAAATACCAAAAACATTATTTGGATGATTTGATATAAGTAAGGCCTTATTTTAATTAATATTTTAATTCATTTAAATACAGAGATATTTTCACTGTCATCAAATTATTTCATGTTCTTGGCCCTCTTAAGCAGTTATATTTGTGAAACTGACTCATTTTAGATGCTTCTGTCCCTTTAAAAGCAAGGGGGCGTGTGAACTGGGCCGTCTGCTGTTCGAACCATACAAGTAGAATAAAATAAACTGGTAGAATGACAATAAGCGTGAAACGGTGGGTTCCAAAGTGGGTGGGGCTTCGCGACGCATATGTTTTCAGATTCGATGGATTTAAATAATAATCTCCGAATTACAATCAATGTTTTTGTCAGTTTCTCCATGCCATTTTCTGGTGTAAATTACTTCCTTTAATATTTGCTGAAGAGAACTATAAAACGGCGTTGTCACGTGGTGTCTGTTACTTTACTCAGCGCTGATCAGATTAGCCTTATCACGATCACTTGTGATGACTTCATATGGATTTTGTTTATATTTTACATAGAACATTTCTTTTAATATATAATTGTTAATTCTTGAACATAATTGATTAAAAACTATTTTTAATCTACAAAAATCTTAAATAAAACAGATAATATGCGAATTCAAATTAGTTTAGCGGCTCCAAACGCCCCCTGGAGGAAGCCAACTGTAAGTCCCATTGTAAACAGCATTTTAATTCTCGAATCGAATTGCTACATCGAATGAGTCTCTCTCAACAGCGTACCCAATGCACGAGGATGAAGCGTTTTGGTAGCACAGGGGTGTGTAACATCACATAGGCGGTTCTCGCGTTGCGTTATTTAACGCGCCCACCTGCACGGCACAGAACACATTTTCACGGCGTCTTCCCTGGTGGACTAGTAAACGATGGACCTGCACATCTTGGACCATAAATTACGGGTCATTTCCATAACCAAAACGGGACTTCAGCAGTACACACACCCCCTAATCAAGCTGATATTTCTCAGAAACAGGACGAGGTAAGATCAGTCAACGCCTGTATGAGTTTGCAAACATGTTTTTACGCGTTTGATGGTGCAATGTCTCTTATTAAGACACCAGGTCAAGTACATAGCGTGCTTGTTTATAATGTGTGCAACTGCAAAGTAAGCGCCTCAACCTGTTTTGGTTAGTTTGAAGAAATAAAAAATGACCAAAGAATGACAGAGCACGCACATGTACTTGGGGCCTTTAACTTATTCTTAAAAACACACTCGAAACTGCTATAAAAGCAAGCTGTTTTTCATAAAATTTAGTAATTTCTTGCGCTCAGCTATGACTTGGAAAAACCTAGGCAGCTGCCTACCTGGCTAGACAACATTATTGGGCACGCAAGTTTTGACATACATCCCATACATTAAGTTTCATTCAGTCAGTTGGACTTTTTTTCATTGCATATACAGTGTCCCCAAAAAGAATATACAAGCCTAAAAATGTATGGATTTCTTTTCATTAGATAAAAACTAAATATCAGCATGTTGCGTTTTTGGTAAATATTGGTATTGAAGTAATTTTCTGTGTGTCTCCCATTTGCTGACATTAAATTCTATATTGGCATTATATCATAATTTATTGGCCACTCGTCGCTATTGATATAACTGGTCATTAAAAAGCCCATGTTGGTTGTTGACTTGTTAGTAGCCGATAATGTTTTAATGCCATCACCCTAATTGAGATCCCCTGTTGTTTTTGTGCCAGATAAATACTGGTGATGTGTTCAGTTATACTCTGTTTTTTAACACTTGAATAAAAGTTAGGGTTATTATTAATATAAAAACAAAAGATTATTTATAGTCTAATATAAAAACAAAAGATTAAAACCAAAAGTTAGTGGGACACGTCCATACTAGTTAAAGGGGTCATATGATGCGATTTCAATTTTTTTTTTGTTTTTTTTGGAGTGTTACAAGCTCTTGGTGCATAAAGAAGATCTGTAAAGTTGCAAAGACTAAAGTCTCAAATCCAAAGAGATATTCTTTATAAAAGTTCAGAGTCAGCCACGCCTACCTAAAACGGCTCGTTCTAACACGCCCCCACACAGCATCATATGACCCCTTTAAGGGCAAATTACTTCATACATCCACTAAGCAAAACTTTAGGACGAGTTCGAAGGATTCACAGCAAAAATCTAGTTAGGTTGTTCTAAGAAAAGATCTAGTATCACTGGTTTGCAGTTGTCTGTTGGTTTGACATTCAGACATTTTAAAGTGTGGTTTGCCCCTTCTACTACATATGGCCAAAGAGACATCATCTGAAAAGAAAATTTGTTTACATTTAATTTTTTTGTCTTTGGAATAACATTTACAGTTGAATTGTTCACAGTTGTAATACCGATAAATAAAGTCGGTTCCGATTACATGTTGACTCTTGGTGCATTAGGGTACCTGTTGTTTTCTGTGTAGCTTTGTGTCTCTCTCCTATTTCTTCCATCTTAATGGTGTTACCATAAACTCAGATATGTGCAATAAAATCTTGGTTGTAAAATGTCGCTGATGAAAGTATTTTGTGAGGCATCGTGTGACTTCAGTTCCTTTTATGATCTGCGTAATGCCGTTGAATGGGTGTTTTTTTGTCACGTCTGCGAGGATGAGGGGATAGCGACAGGCCTTTCAGGACTGGATTCCCACAGAGCTTAGAAAAAGATTGGTGTTTGTGTATTCAATATGCCTTTTCTGGTTCGTTCAGGCATATCTTGTTGAACTTTCCAGAACCTTGAATGCTACAGACTGATAATGTTCCAGAGTGGACCATATCACTTCCAAATCCTTAAATTAACTTGGTTTTTTTTATTATCTTAAAATACAAAAATTAAAGGATAATTCACCCAAACATAAAATTCTGTCTTAATTTACTCACCCCCATATTGTTTCAAATAAAATCGTGCATGAGTTGTAAGAACTACTATATTCAAAGTTGTCCGATATCTTTTGAGTGAGGAACAGACTGAAATGCATGTTGTTTTTCACTGAAAATCTTCGTTTCCACTGTAGCTCTCAAATACTCTTCATGCATGAGCATATTCAAACTTGGCATGTCAGTTTTGATATCATGACACCAAGCAGCTCTTGATGTGTTTTACAACTGAATGTGACATGTTAAGAGTGTTAGTGGTGACAAATTTCGTTTTTGGATGAGTTATGCTTTTTAAAGGTCATAAGGCTCGTAAGATCTCATCTGGAAATGTTATTACTGCATCTGCTTGTTTTGACTCACTCCAAAAATGAAAATTCTGTCACCATTTGCACCATTGTTGTCATAAACCTGTATACCTTTCTTTTTATGTTGAACTCAAAAGGAGATATTTTGAATAATGATCTTTCAAGATTAAAAAAGCACCATTAAAGTCCTAAAACTTGAGGTGAACTCGGATCACAAATTTATTCAGAAAAAGTTTATTCAAAAGTTATTCAGAATGGTTTTGTGAGTCATTAAAAAAGATCTCACTCAGGAGAATGATTCATTCATGAACTGTGTGTACATGCAAAGTTAAATCTGCGTTCATACGTTTTTACCAACAAATCATGATTCTTCAATTACTTGGGAAATGAAGTTTATTGTAAATTTATGAAAAAATTCAGGAACAACCGAAGCACACAAATGCATAAATCAACCATATAAACTAATTCAGATGAAATATTATACATAGATATATGATCTTTTAAAGGGGTCATATGATGCTGCTAAAAAGAACATTATTTTGTGTATTTGGTGTAATGAAATGTTTATGCGGTTTAAGGTTAAAAAAACACATTATTTTCCACATACTGTACATTATTGTTTCTCCTCTATGCCCCGCCTTTCTGAAACGCGTCGATTTTTACAAACCTCATTGGTCTGAAAAGCGAGGTATGCTCTGATTGGCCAGCTATCCAGTGCGTTATGATTGGCCGAATACCTCAAGCGTGAGACGGAAATGTTACGCCCCTCACCTCTTAACTTTTATAAAGAATATCTCTTTGGATTTGAGACTTTAGTCTTTGCAACTTTACAGATCTTCTTTATGCACCAAGAGCTTGTAACACTCCAAAGAGAAAGGAAAAATTGAAATTGCATCATATGACCCCTTTAAGGATGCATGATTGATTAATCGAAATAAAAACTAAATTATTATATGGCTCCCTGTGGTTTTCTGTCAAAATAAAAGTTTGATGGCTTAACATTTGAAAAATTAAGAAATTAAGATTAACGTAATTATCATTAGTATTGTAAATTTACAGTTGTAAAATACAATTATTATAATATTATTATTTCTTATACTCAGTTTTTTTTACAGTGAAATATTATAATAGTGATATTTCTTATTTTTAGTCACTTTAACAATAGTAGTTTATAATAATAATAATTATTATTACTACAAAAATTTAGCCAAATTTTACAAACAACGACAGCAAAACGAATTTTTTTTTTTTTTACAATTGCACTTAGATTTTTTTTTTTTTTTTTCACAAATTGTGCAGCTGCAGTTAATTTGTTTGTGTGTGTGTGTTCTCCTGTGCGTATAATGAACGTGCCTAGGACAGTTAGAGTTGACGTAAAGATTTATTGGTAAATAATGACTTCAATTTTCTTCTCACAGAAGACCCTCTCACCTAATTTTTTCTTCACAGAAATCTATTTTCTGACTTTGAATAAAGTGCACTAATATAGTGAACCCAGTTCTCTCCCTTTTCTCACCATTCTGGAGGATGTTGGTTTAACACCACTCCTATATTTCTCTGTTTTCCAGAAGGCTTTACAGGAAGTTGAACCCTGGGAGCTCTAGATGTTGTTAGGAAGTGTGAGACTAGCTGACACAATGCTGCTGTGCTGAGTTAGCCCTGAGGGTGGGGATGTATTATTTCCCTTCTGGTCGGCCCTTGGATTGATGTGGCCAGGCGCTGGGTTGCAGACAGCACAGGAATCAGCTGTGAATGAAGACCTGTGGGTGGCTGCCAGTACAGTATCGCAGCTCTTCCTTCAGATAAGGGCTGCTGCACTGCTGAGTCTCCCTCATCTGCAGTAGTTCATGTGAAAGTTACAAAGTACTCGTTGTTAGCGGACTACTTTTTTAGTGCTTTCTATTGCAAAACAAACAGACAAATAAAAACCAAAATGTAATGGCCCGATCCAAGCCATTTTTAAATTTTGCCTTTTTAACAAGGGTGTTGCACAAAGGATTTGATACGTGAATCCATAATTTGTAGTGTAAAGGTTTACTAAAATCTTTGTCAAGTTACACTGTATAAAAAAAAAGGGCTGTCAAGCTGATTAATTGCGATTAATAGCATCCAAAAAAAGTTTGTGATGTGTGTGTACTGTTTATATTTATATAAATACACACATGCATGTATATTTAAGAAATATTTACGTGCGTGTGTGTGTATATACAGTGCCTTGCGAATGTATTCATACCCCTTCATTTTTTTTCATGTTTTGTTGCTGCCTTATGTTAAACTGCTTTAAATTAGTTTTTTTCCACAACAATCTACACTCCATACACCATAATTGTCAAGCAAAAAAACAGGTTTTTAACATCTTTGCAAATTTATTAAAAATAAAAAACTAAAATGATTCATTTTAATGCATAAGTATTCATACCTGGGACAGTTGAAATTTAGCTCAGGAGCATTCATATTGCTTGTAGAT